TTGAGCCACATCCCCAGCCCTAGGCATTTACTTTTGTTATAGGCAAGCAACAAGGTGTGCCGTGGCTCAGAGTGCTAGGCTTGTTTGTGTAGTCTTGATTTGGATAGATATCCAAAGGCATGTGGCTGTTGACCATCTCAGGACCTAGGTGCAGAGCCACGTCACTGCCCATCCTCTATGCACTCTCATTAGTGCCCAGGTAGACTCACTACTGAGCCAGCACTCTCTGACCTTTTTTTGCTTCCCTTGTGTTTGAAGTTTCTGTAAGGGCAATGTGCCCTTGTCCTGCGAACTAGAAYAGTTTGGTTTTAAAATGTCTCATGCTTTTTTCCACATGGAGGGAGGAGATGGGATGTGGAGGTGAGGCAGAAACAGATAAGGTGTGCTTCACCTGCTGGCTACTTGTGACAGTGCTCCTGCAGAAARGATATGGTGAAGATCTCCATGGATGTGTTTGTGAGGAAGTTCCAGCCAGAAAGATACAAACTTTGGAAAGCTGGGAAGGACAGCACAATTATTGACCATACCGTGCCTACACCAGAAGCAGCAGAATTTCTCAAGGAGAGTGAACTTCCCCCAGGAGCTGGGAATGAGGAGGAATGCCCAGAGGAGGACATGGAAGGAGCTGAAGATGGAGAGGAGGGAGACCTAAAGAGAAGGTAACTGGTAGCCATTTTGACCTGACTRTTGAGGATGGGATTCTGGGCAGCTCTCAAAACCTGTGGAAAGGCTATGACTAAGTGGGGTGTTTGAGCCACAGCTCTTCTTAGTAAAGTTCCAAAACCCTCAGAGCTGGAGCATTCAGCACTTCCTTGTGGCTCTTACCCAGCAATGAAGATAATAAACCTGTAGTTGGCTGGAGCAAGGGGTAGGGCTCCCCTCTGCCAAAAGTTAGTTTTCCTATCAGAGTRTTTTCTGTTTTTTATTCTGTTTTATTTTTGTGATACTGGGGGCTGAACCCATGGGTGCTTTATCACTGAGCTGCATCCCCCAGAATATTTGTTGAAAAGGAGAATGTGATGGTGGGATCAAGACTTTCTGGGGCAGTGGCAGTAGGAAGATAAGTTTGCTGGTGTTGTCAGGATCTGAGCCAGTGCTCTGAGAAGAGTTTTTCCCATTTCATGTGGGAAAGACCAGAGGGACATTTATGGGGTACTTAATAAAGGCTAGGCACTCTGCTGCGGTGCTCCATGTACCTTTTCTCAATCTTCACCCCAAATCTGTGAGGTGGGTTGGGATACTTTCCAGATGATGGACTAAATTCAGAGAGATCAAGTCTTTTGGTTCAGATCACACAAACAAGAGGTGGCCCCCAGTTTTGAACCAGTACTGACAGGCCCTGGGCATTTATTTTGGGTTGTATTTGCACAAGGTTGAATGTATTTGGTAAGTGATTTCATATGTGGACTCTAGAAGGTTTGTTCTCTTTACAGTCTGGCCAAGCACCGTATAGGGACAAAGAGGCACCGGGTTTGTCTTGAATTACCACAGGAAGTAAGTCAGAGTGAGCTCTTCCCCAAGGAGGAACTAAGTTCAGGACAGTATGAAATGACAGAATGTCAGGCCACCCTTGCTCCTGTGAGGCCCACCCACAGCTCTGTGCGGCAAGTTGAGGATAGCCTGCCTTTCCCAGGTGAGTAGAACATGGTGCATTTTTCGYAGCCCTTGTCTGTCCTGTATGCTGTGCATATTGAGTGCAGGATCAGAAATAAAAAAGGAGAGAGTGCAATCTGTGAGAAGATCTGTAGTTGGGGCTGGGGATGTGGCTCAAGCGGTAGCGCGCTCACCTAGCGTGCGTGCGGCCCGGGTTCGATCCTCAGCACCACATACAAACGAAGATGTTGTGTCC